TGGTAACCACGCCTTCTACAAATGAAACTACGGTGGTAACCACGCCTTCTACAAATAAAACTACGGTGGTAACCACGCCTTCTACAAATGAAACTACGGTGGTAACCACGCCTTCTACAAATAAAACTACGGTGGTAACCACGCCTTCTACAAATGAAACTACGGTGGTAACCACGCCTTCTACAAATAAAACTACGGTGGTAACCACGCCTTCTACAAATGAAACTACGGTGGTAACCACGCCTTCTACAAATGAAACTACGGTAACTACTTCGGCTCTGTTGACAACCACATGGCGGAATGTTTCAACAACTCAAACCACGCAACAACCTACAACAGCTATGACTTGTCCACCGTGTGCTAGAAGTAACTTTCAATGTGCAAGTGGTTGCGAGTGTCTACCCAAGCAATGGGTCTGTGATGGTAAACCGGATTGTGGTGATGGTTCTGATGAGATTGGTTGTCCGACCACACCTATACGTAATACGACTGTAACAACAGTTACAGTATCTGCTAACTACACCTCGACAACAACTACAGAATCACCAACGTCGCAACCTACATGCCAAGGTAACAAGATACCCACCAATTGCCAACCAGCGTGCGACATAACATGTCAGTATATCAATCAATCTTGCTCGTCACATCAACCTCTCCATTGTGTCCCTGGCTGTCGGTGTCCGGATGCAAGTGTATTCAACGGTACTCACTGTACGAGACCAAGTGACTGTATCTGCTCTTACAATGGCAGCTTTTATGAGCCTCGCTCTTCATGGACTAGTGGGTGTGACCTCTGTGTTTGTTGGAATAATACCGTCCTGTGCCATAGAATACCTTGTCCATCGATTGGCTTATGTCCGTCTGATCTCTTCCATGTTGTTACTATAGAAGGAGAATGTTGTCCAAAGTGCGTCAGGCGTAATGTTACCAAGACTACCCCATTACCACCATGTCTGGAATCCTTCACACGGTGCAAGAACGGGACTTGTATTTCCAAGCATTGGATATGTGATGGGGAGAAGGACTGTATGGACGGAGAAGACGAGAGGAACTGCTCGGTGGCAGCCTGTGCTAATTCACTAGGTGAGTGTGTTGATTATCGGTGATTATGGTAAAAGATAGAAACGTCAAAAACACACAAGCTTGCTTATTCTCACACAATGGTGATTCTTAGCTGGCGTATTAAAGGGCCACTTGGACGAAAATCGTTCCAAAATTAAAACTCTTTCATTCGAGCTGGAACTTTG